AACAACGTGACAATGGATCTTCACATGTCCAAGAGCGAGATCAACAAACCCGAACATGATGATGTGCACTAAAATAAAGTTAACACTACATTTGTGATTTATAACAAACAAAATAAAAATTGACCGAGAGAATGGGTGGGTCACTCATCATCAGTAATTCTACAGTGTATTCGTTATTTTAAGCTCACCTCCCAAAAAGCGGCTATCTTATTTTATTTTTCACACCTTATCCATGAAAGAAATATTATAAGAATATCGTCCTCTCCACGAGTCCTGTGGGCCGCCATTTTGAATGGTCACGTGACAGACGTACACACCTTGGTCATGTGATATGCGAAATACCAATGTAAAAAGTTCAAGAAGCGTCTCCGGTAACACTGTGAAACAACATGACAGTGGATCTTCACATGTCCGAGAGCGAGATCAAGAAACCCTAACATGTTGATCTGCACTCAAATAAAGTTTACACTAGATTTGTGTTTAAAAGAAACAAATAAAACATTGATCGAGAAAATGGGTCACTCATCATCACATACATTGACTTTAGCCAGGTTAGATTCTTGGATCCTCGTCCTCTTTGAGAGTTTTCCATGCGCTCCTGGCATCCTTTCTGTAATACAGGGTAACAACGATCCCCTTTTCGCGAACCTTTGCATGTAGTTGTTGTTTACGTAATTCAGCGGCTTTTCGTACCAGGCGGCCACGAAGTTTTTTTAAGTCGACAGGCAGGTCTGTACGAACACTGAGCCGGTCTTTCGCCAATTCCCTCCCCACGGAATAGGTAGTCTTCAAAATGAGATCTCTGTCCTCCATGCGCACGAATTTAATGATGATAGGATTAGGTTCTTCGTTCGGTGTGAATCGAGGGAGTCTGTGAATATTCACAAACAACATGTTGTCCACCGCATGTGAATCCAGGTGTAATTTATCCTTGAAAATGTTTCTACAGGCCTTGTCAACATCTGTGACTGTATTAGGTACACCGTAGATAAGTAAGTTGGATTTACGGGAATACATCTCTGAGATCAGTAGCTTTTCTCTTAGCTTGTCGATTTCGTCGCGGAGGTGTTGTTCTGACCACGCCATTTTGTCACCAAGGTCGTCGATAGATTTCAAAATAAATTCCACCGACGACTCCACTGAAGATACCCGTTTGAACAAGTCAGCCACTTCTTCTTTAACAGAGTCGATCTTGGAACATATCTGACTGGTCTGTTTGTCCAATTCCTCGCGAAGGAACGTTTTCAAGTCGCTGGGTGCAACGCCAGCAGGCGGGGAGGACGAAGGTGAATGTAAGGGCAGAATAACGTCAGAGCTTTCCTCCTCATCTGTCTGCTCCGGGCGTAAATACGAGCTGATTTTATGTGTAGCAGTACTGCTGGTGGTAGATTTGTTGTTCTGTTTGTTTGTATTTCGTCTCCCCGCCATGCTTGTGTAAAGATTGAAGTGGATTACCACGAGAGCGCCAGTCGCACGTCTTTACGATTCGAGCGCCATACAGGAAGTCCAAATTCATGATATTTAATATACTCTTCAAAAAAGAAATGCAAAGCCAGATTTGTGTGAGGTTGGAAAATACATTTATACGAGGAACTGTACAAGGTATTCAGCCAAAATGTTGTGGAGAAAACACTTGGTGATTGCAGTTATCTCAGTTATGGGTACACAGGAAAAGTCCAAGGTGCAGGTCAGCTACCATCAATAACACATATGTCCCCCGTTTGAATTGATCGTGGCCTGACATCTCCTGTCCATGGAAGAGACGAGTATGCGAATCACATCCTGGGGAATGGTAGCCTACTCAGCCTTGATTGCCCTTAATATGGACCAAACCTGTCGTGCCATGATGAGAGATAGCCACCCACATCATAATGCTACCCCTACCACCAAACCTGTCCACTTCCTGTATTTGGGATGCGGTTGGGATTTGGGATAGCCTTGTGATGGTGCTGGGCGCTACATGGAACACCCTGGCTACAGCTGATCGAGATTCCCCTGCCTGCAAGCACCCTATGGCATTGTTTCTTTGTACTTCTGTTAATCTTGGCATGTTGTTGAACTGTCACTGTTAGCAGATCCCAGGCAATCAAAAACCCTGCACTTAAATAAAATGCAGCTCCATAGCCCTTTTGTTAATACACTGGGTGCGTTTTTCTGAATCATACATGTTTCCCGACTAATGGTTTGCATGTCCTTGTTGTGATCATTTTGATCCGAGAAATTTGTCATTGACACCATAACACATAAAACCTCTTCATTTTGCATCTCTTGGTCTGCTAATTTTGCTTTTATGCTTTTTTGTTTGTTTTGAAGAGTATATATTGAGGGAAAACCTCTTGAGATGGATCCCCTATTTGAGGGGGTTTGAACTCATCTGCCTCATGCAGGAGATAGGTGGTGTTGGGTTTCAGAGCCGTAGATGAAGGCTGAGAAGTCTGTGTAATATCGGCAGAGAGTGATACCGTAATAAGCTCTGCGCAAGCTTTATTAAACATTTCTTGCTGCATGGCCAGTAATGCCTATTGTGTACCACCGGCTAATAAATCTGTATTAGTATAAGGCACTGGTAATGTGCCTTGCGTAAAATAGTTAGGTTGTGTGAATGTAGCAGGGTGCGTGAACGCTGGAGCTTGTGTGAAAGCTAATTGATTGAATGCAGGCTGTGCAAAGGCCAGGGTGCGAAGGTGTGTGGCTGAATAAGGTTTGTATCCTGTGTATTTATAGCCTGTTTTGATGATAATGAGGCATCCATGAACTTCTGAGGTTGTGCAGAAGTGGACGGCTGCATGAAGGTCTTCGTCTGACAAGTAGAAGAAATTTTAGTAAAACCCCTTCACTGATGATGAAGAGTGTGGCGGCTTTGTGAAGGTAACAGTCATGCTCTCTTACAGGGGAAGACTGCTTATGGGGCCTTTACACAGGATGGCGACCTTTGTGCCTCCATGCATTGAACGATGAGTATGGCGATCGCCGTGCCTCCATTCGGCGACCACGGCAACACTTGAGACACCATGGCAATGCTTCTGCCTCTTTTATGCCTCCTTTGAGCTACCTGTAGTGCCTCCTCAGCCTGCCTATAAATAGAGGGCTTGTACCTGCAGTGTTTCATTGTGGTTGCAGACGTTGAACAACTCAAGCAGTTACTGCTAAACAACTGCTGGAGCAGTTAAATAGAAACATGATTTTCGGGATTTAGGCAACCATTGAGCATCCTGGCCAGTTTTTGATCGCTCGAAGGTGGCACAAAGGTCGCAGCCCTGTGTGAAGGGGGCTTTAGAGGCAGAGGAAGATGTACTCATCCTCTTACCTAAATCTTGCAGACTTTTAGCTTGACTAAAGGAATAGTAGATCTAACTTTTTTTTAAACACTCTGGACTTCTTATTACTAGATGAGGAAGTATGTTAGTGGATGACTGCTAAGTCATCAATGGGGGCAAGTTGAATATCATCTATATCAAAATCTTTCTCTTCCTCTGAAGATAGACAAGGTGTAGATTGTCTATATTTCTTCATCGAAGCTGCCTCCACTGGCGATGTAGAACATGATGACTCACGTCGTTCATGGTCCATCTTTTTCCTCTGCACTGTAAAGAGGTATCCATCAAATTCTTCCTTCCCCAAAGGGGCACAGAAAGTTCACCTACTCACCACAGTGCAGTTCTGTGTGATGCAGCTGGTGCAGATCGGGTGATGGTCAGAATCTCGAGGACACGTAATTTGCAGATGTTACATGTTTTCATTACCAAAATGGTGTTGTATTTATGGTGTATTTAAAGTCCAAATAAGGAAACAATCTTTAAAAAAAAGATCATAAGTAAACAATTTTCAGTTTAAGTCCGGATAGATAAAATAATGGTTTCTGAGAACTCATTTAGGTTAAAGAGCATGTGTGGGATCAGATGGGGCTCTGAGGCCTCTTCCAAACCTAGAGGAGCCACCCTACCTGCATCATTAGCCCACCAAAGACCAAAGAAGTATGCGCCTAAGCTTGAGCATTGCGGCAATAAAGAACCCCTGGGGGGAGTCACGCAGCAAAAAGTAGGAGAGTTGATGAGGTCAGTGTAAAAGTTTTAGGCGTAAAACTGAGTGGTGCTGCCTTGGGTGCAGATCTTGGTGGTAGTAGCACATTTTCATCTTTGAAATGTTGGGACGGGTGACAAGATCAACCTCTATGGTTGGTTGGTTGTTTAACCCCGCACTCAGCAATATTCCAGCTATATGACAGCGGTCTGTAAATAATTGAGTCTGGACCAGACAATCCAGTGATTGATATCATTTAACCACGCAATTGGGATTGATGACATTCATCAACCAAGTCAGTGAGCCTGATTAGTCGCCTCTTACGACAAGCATGGGTTACTGAAGACCAATTCTACCCCAGACTTCAGAGGTACCACCTCTATGCATCACAGACTTGTCACCCAAGTGTCTCTCAGTTGAAGGCTTCACACCAAGGCAGAGACATTTAATCTGACTTCATAATATTTTTAGTCATAGTAGGTACCTTAGACCTTTTGGCCAATCTTGTCTTTCTAGATGTATCCGGGTTATTACCCCAAGCCTTAAAATGTCTATCAAACTTAACCTAAGGTAATTTTTTGCAGCAATTGTATTTAGAGATTGGAGTGCACTTACTATTTCTGAAAGAATGGCATACAGATTTAGGTTGCAAGTCACATGAGCTGACTACTTACGAAAATGATCCTGCTTCTTATACTCCCTAACTCCATGTTATCATGCTCTCAGTTTGACTATACTTGTCTTTAAGATGATTTCAAGAAGTTACAGTGTGAAATACCAAACCAAAGTTACCAAACATTATCAGAAGTGATCCAAAATGTGGTTTACATCCGGGCAAACATGAAAGAAGGGACATATTCCTGCCCCGTGCATGTGCATTTGCATTTCCAGTGGAGGATAGGGTTCTCTTACAACTATGGGTCAAAATGATATTTTTGATATATGGCTGCATATGTGAAAATAGTAAGAAGATACCATACCATACGCATCTTGGAAAAATTGACGAGACCATCTTCAGTGAAGTTTGGTGTTCCCTCTTCAATGAAGGACAAGTCGGTTAGGTACATTCCAAGGTAGGGAATACATGGAGGATCACATCTACAATTACAAAAAAAAGAGCCAGAAGGCTCTGAAGCTAAAATGAATTATGAAGAAAGAACAGGGTATGTGAAAAGTCAAAGGTATGTCATTCTGCATACCACATACTTTCTGCATATCAAATTTCAAATGAAACATGCTTAATTGGGCAAGAATGACATTTTCAAAATCACTGCCATGAAGGTCATGTTTAAAATCAAATCACAATTCTTGAATCATTCATACAATTTTTCAGCTCAGTAAAAGTTCAGCATCAAAACTTTACTCAAGGTTCTACTACACCAAATCAGTACCAGTTTGGAGAGTGCGGTTTTCGTAGGGAGCCTTCAGTGCAGATCGAGAGATATCTGCAGGCTGTGATTGGAGGATATTCTGTAAGATTTTTATGTCTTTCAAATGTACATCCATCCAGTTATTAAAACTGACCATGTTTTTCTATATTTAGTACTGTCTTTTTCAACATGATGACTTATGCTGAATGTGACCACAGCTATTTTCAAGTAGGTGACATTTGGTGCGAAACTGGGGGTGGTGTGTTTAGCTTCCGGTACTCGGAAAAGGAGCTGGCTAAGCTAGTCATTTTTATTTTTTTTATTGCTGCTCTAAGGCCAAACTGTGCACACACGTACAGGTAATAGCTGTTGAATGCTTAGTTATTTAAAAAAAAATCATAACGTTACTATAGAAGTCTATGGGAAAACATTTGGTTGTGTGTAACCTGTAGGGTGAGTGCACATTTCAGTAATTCATACTTTACATGCTTTTCTGTTTATATTTCACCATGGATACACCATGGAGGCAAATTTAAAAATAATGACAGTGAAGTTGGGGACATTTTGGGTTGAATGGAGCATTTGGATGGGCTGGAAATGAATGTTGCTTCGTATTGTGGTCGAACTCAGCACGAACCCCCCAGGGTACCTCTGTCCAACAAACCCTCCTCCTGCCTTCTGAATTTGTTGAAACTGATGAATTTGACAACAAATTAGGATAAAGTCACCACTGCCACAACAATTTCTGCCTTGTGTCAATCGCTTGCCAGTCAAGTTACGCGATGCCGTTATCTTGAATATGAAGTATGTGCACTGCTGACAGCAGAATATGTCAAACATCCCCTTATTTATAGTAAACAATGTAGCATACCAATATGTCTTTCTGTTAGGTGCTCTTGTGTGAATGAATGATGCTATTTTTCTATTAAGTTTCTTAAAACAGACTTATTTTTCACTCATATAACTTTCAAATAATTATTTTGTCCCCTCAAGAACTGACTCCTGGCTGTTATATCCAAACTGGTTTGCCATTTGATATTGTCTGAACACTTTTTTCAGCTTTTCACATGCCTGATGTTGACTGGGGAGGTATATGTGCACTCATGCAGAAGAAGTAGGAGTTTCGACATCGAATTTGGCATTTGGAGAAGCTGATCCGAAGTCCGGTGTTGGCAGTGTGTGATCGACAACCCTTGTTTTGCCTCGCTGCGCTTTATTACCTTGTAGAAGTTGTGGAACTTGGACATGTAGGTACAGTAAGTACATTTAAGAACCCCAGTCCACTTGAGGCCCCTCTGTTGCTCACCATCAAGTGCCATAATAAGATCACCCTCATGCACTAGACATTTCTGACAGTGCTCCCTTAATGCCTCACTGTGCAGTTTTTTAGTTTGCAAACATGAAGTAAGGGCTATACACCAGTCCCAGAACCTGCTTAGATGAAAATAATATCCACTGGCTCTTTTGGAATGTAACATTATGGTTCTGAAATCATCTGTAAAGAATGTGATAGTGTTCGACAAAACTAAATTATCTCCCCTGTTTAGTAAAATGCATTGTATCTTTCATTCCCCTATAAACCCATAAATTATTGGAGAGAAACACTATTTTAAGCTGGTATTGCATGACACTGTTAATTGTGAATAAAAAGAATTACATTTATGTCAGGATAAGCTGTACATTTTCAAAATTATATGGAATTTTAACTTTGTTTCATTGAAACTGGCAAATAACTGAAATAAGCAAGTTTAGCCACCTTGAAACATTAAACAGTAAGAATGTTTGATGTCCTGTGAGTATTTTAAAGTCTTAACTAAATAAATCAATAGAGTTAAGTGTAATTTCCTTCCATGTTGTGGTTTCAAAAAGCTTTTTTCTACTTGAGGGTCCATTTCAATTTCTCGGCTTTAATAGGCGGTATGGTTCACTGGTCAGTGTTTGAGATTGCTGTTAACAATGCACCCCTTTACTTCCTATTTTCTGGTAAAGTTCATTATCCAGCCTTACATATATGATGACTTTAAAGCTGCTTAATGTGTCCCTTGCTTATTGTTGGCCTGAATTCCATGCTCTCTGTCCAATTTTGAGATTTTTTTCTGATTCCTTTCCATGTGTACTTATGTCATCAGCCTATATCATAGAGGATTATACTTTTGATTTTTGGAGTATATGAAAGCACAAACATTTGTGATAGCCCCTCCATAGATGATTTACCAAATGCTGACAGCCATTTGAGTGTTTAATTATATAAACAATGGATGGTGTAAGTTCGAGCAATCTCAAACAATATCAATCGCATCATGTCATGAGTGTCAAAACCATATTCTATGAATGTAGCAGACTCTGCTATGTTCTGATGATGTCAGCAAAGGAAGGCAAACAACAGACCACTACTCAATTTTAAATATGTATTGTAACTGGTTTTGAGGTTTAAAGATTTGTTCAATTTTTTTAGTCGAAAAAAATATTTTAGGGTGATATGATCTATGCAGCCTCAATCATTTATAGAATTGACCCCTGACCACCATCTTTTATGAAATATAAATGAACTTCCATGGTCAGTGCATGAAGGTAAAAACTTCTTTATTAATACAGAAATACCTTTTGTAAAACATTGATGAAGTGTACATCATTAAACTCTCACAACTCTTTCTGTGCATCAAAACTATGTATTCTGGTGCCATATAGACATGCTGGATAGGAACAAGTAGTGAAGTTTAATCCAATTTCCATTTTTTTTCTGAGAAGCTACATATATATACAATATATAAATCACAGATTTGACAAGTGCATATTTTTTCTGATTTGTCTACAGGGTGAGTGCACATTTCAGTAATTCATACTTTACATGCTTTTCTGTTTATATTTCACCATGGATACACCATGGAGGCAAATTTAAAAATAATGACAGTGAAGTTGGGGACATTTTGGGTTGAATGGAGCATTTGGATGGGCTGGAAATGAATGTTGCTTCGTATTGTGGTCGAACTCAGCACGAACCCCCCAGGGTACCTCTGTCCAACAAACCCTCCTCCTGCCTTCTGAATTTGTTGAAACTGATGAATTTGACAACAAATTAGGATAAAGTCACCACTGCCACAACAATTTCTGCCTTGTGTCAATCGCTTGCCAGTCAAGTTGCGCGATGCCGTTATCTTGAATATGAAGTATGTGCACTGCTGACAGCAGAATATGTCAAACATCCCCTTATTTATAGTAAACAATGTAGCATACCAATATGTCTTTCTGTTAGGTGCTCTTGTGTGAATGAATGATGCTATTTTTCTATTAAGTTTCTTAAAACAGACTTATTTTTCACTCATATAACTTTCAAATAATTATTTTGTCCCCTCAAGAACTGACTCCTGGCTGTTATATCCAAACTGGTTTGCCATTTGTTATTGTCTGAACACTTTTTTCAGCTTTTCACATGCCTGATGTTGACTGGGGAGGTATATGTGCACTCATGCAGAAGAAGTAGGAGTTTCGACATCGAATTTGGCATTTGGAGAAGCTGATCCGAAGTCCGGTGTTGGCAGTGTGTGATCGACAACCCTTGTTTTGCCTCGCTGCGCTTTATTACCTTGTAGAAGTTGTGGAACTTGGACATGTAGGTACAGTAAGTACATTTAAGAACCCCAGTCCACTTGAGGCCCCTCTGTTGCTCACCATCAAGTGCCATAATAAGATCACCCTCATGCACTAGACATTTCTGACAGTGCTCCCTTAATGCCTCACTGTGCAGTTTTTTAGTTTGCAAACATGAAGTAAGGGCTATACACCAGTCCCAGAACCTGCTTAGATGAAAATAATATCCACTGGCTCTTTTGGAATGTAACATTATGGTTCTGAAATCATCTGTAAAGAATGTGATAGTGTTCGACAAAACTAAATTATCTCCCCTGTTTAGTAAAATGCATTGTATCTTTCATTCCCCTATAAACCCATAAATTATTGGAGAGAAACACTATTTTAAGCTGGTATTGCATGACACTGTTAATTGTGAATAAAAAGAATTACATTTATGTCAGGATAAGCTGTACATTTTCAAAATTATATGGAATTTTAACTTTGTTTCATTGAAACTGGCAAATAACTGAAATAAGCAAGTTTAGCCACCTTGAAACATTAAACAGTAAGAATGTTTGATGTCCTGTGAGTATTTTAAAGTCTTAACTAAATAAATCAATAGAGTTAAGTGTAATTTCCTTCCATGTTGTGGTTTCAAAAAGCTTTTTTCTACTTGAGGGTCCATTTCAATTTCTCGGCTTTAATAGGCGGTATGGTTCACTGGTCAGTGTTTGAGATTGCTGTTAACAATGCACCCCTTTACTTCCTATTTTCTGGTAAAGTTCATTATCCAGCCTTACATATATGATGACTTTAAAGCTGCTTAATGTGTCCCTTGCTTATTGTTGGCCTGAATTCCATGCTCTCTGTCCAATTTTGAGATTTTTTTCTGATTCCTTTCCATGTGTACTTATGTCATCAGCCTATATCATAGAGGATTATACTTTTGATTTTTGGAGTATATGAAAGCACAAACATTTGTGATAGCCCCTCCATAGATGATTTACCAAATGCTGACAGCCATTTGAGTGTTTAATTATATAAACAATGGATGGTGTAAGTTCGAGCAATCTCAAACAATATCAATCGCATCATGTCATGAGTGTCAAAACCATATTCTATGAATGTAGCAGACTCTGCTATGTTCTGATGATGTCA